AGATCTTTATCTTATTAGTACAAAAAATTATGACGAAACATAAAATTGTTAATTCACGTTATGAAGTTTTAATTGATAAAATTTTGACAGAAACAACTGTTGCTGACGGTGAGGATTATCTATTAATGAGACATCGACATTCAAGAAATAAAAATCGTGACTTATCGTTAACATCATCTGACACAACTACGATTAAAAGATTACATGTATCTGCCTCAAATCTTCAAAAAGCCTGGACTGCAACAAGAAGAGTTTCAAAGGATGATTGGCTGGAATGGCTAAGAAGTTTGTCGATTGGTTTGCTAAAAGAATCACCGTCACCAGCATTAAGATCATGTTGGGCTCTTGCACAGACCTATTCCAAATTACCTAGAGATTTATTTAATGCGGCTTTCGTTTCTTGTTGGACCGAATTGGACGATACTTATAAGGCGGAACTTATACAAACCTTACAACAAGCATTAATGGTTCCTGATCTTCCAGAGATAACACAAACGATTTTAAATTTAGCAGAATTTATGGAACATTGTGACAAAGGACCATTACCTTTAGACAATAAAATTTTAGGTGAAAGAGCAATGCATTGTAGAGCTTATGCAAAAGCGTTACATTATAAAGAAGATGAATTTCACAAAAGCAGAAATAGTAATGTTTTTGAATCTTTAATCTCTATTAATAACAAACTTCAGCAGAAAGAAGCTGCAGAAGGTTTATTGGAATATGTTATGAATCAGAATAATCAGCAAGATCTAAAAGTGCAAGTTCGTTGGTATGAAAAACTACATAATTGGGATAAAGCTTTACAATTATATAGAGAAAGACTAGAAAGCGATTCTACAGATGTAGAGTCGACTTTAGGTGAAATGCGTTGCTTGGAAGCTCTTGGAGAATGGGGACAATTGCATGATGTTGCTACCAAACAATGGTTTCATCAAAATGATGAAACTAAACAGAGAATGGCTAGAATGGCAGCAGCTGCAGCATGGGGTTTAAATCAATGGGAAAGTATGGAAAAATATGTCTCTTTAATACCAAAGGATACTCAGGATGGTGCCTTTTATAGAGCTGTTTTAGCAATTCATGATGAACAATATAATATTGCCCATCAACTTATTGATAGTGCTAGAGATTTGCTAGATACAGAATTGACTGCTATGGCTGGTGAAAGCTATCAAAGAGCTTATAATGCTATGGTAGAAGTTCAAAAATTGGCAGAACTAGAGGAAGTGATACAATTTAAATTAGTCCCTGAAAGAAGATCTACTATTAAGTCCATGTGGTGGGAAAGGCTTCAAGGTGGACAGAGAATAGTTGAAGATTGGCAAAAGATTATACAAGTTCATACATTAGTAGTTTCACCTCAAGATGATATGTATACATGGTTGAAATATGCTAGTCTTTGCAGAAAAAGTGGTAGCTTAATGTTATGTCATAAAACATTAGTTATGTTACTTGGAACAGATCCTTCATTAACTCCTGACCAGGCATTACCGACCACTCATCCTCAAGTAACATTTGCCTATTGTAAACACATGTGGGTAGCAAATAAACGAGAAGAAGCATATAATCAACTGCAAAGATTTGTACAGATGTCTTTACAACCGACAACTCTATCAGTGGTCAATCAAGAAGACGAGAAACAACAGGAAATAAGAAAAAGATTACTCGCCAGATGTTATTTGAAGCTTGGAGAATGGTTAGAAGCATTGCAAGGCATAAATGAACATTCTATACCAGCTGTGCTATCTTATTATGCTGCAGCTACAGAACATGATCCTACTTGGTATAAAGCATGGCATGCTTTCGCTTATACTAATTTTGAAACAGTTTTATTTTATAAACATCAGCAAGGTGATTCAAATACTGAGAATATTCCAGGAAACGGGACTCATAATAATCTTTCTAGTTCACAGTATATATCTCAATTTACTGTACCAGCAGTTGAAGGATTTTTTAGATCTATTAATCTTTCTCATGGTAATTCTTTGCAAGATACACTTCGTTTATTGACCTTATGGTTTGATTATGGTCAGTGGCCAGAAGTATATGAAGCTATTGTCGAAGGTATCCGTTTAATTGAAATCAATACTTGGTTACAAGTAATTCCGCAACTTATAGCAAGAATAGACACACCCCGAGCTTTAGTTGGTCGATGCATACATCATCTTCTAATAGATATTGGAAAAACGCATCCACAAGCCTTGGTTTATCCTTTGACCGTAGCATCGAAAAGTGCTAGTCATGCTAGAAAGACTGCTGCCAATAAAATTCTTAAAAATATGTGTGAACATAGTCCAACATTAGTACAACAAGCAATGATGGCTAGCGATGAATTAATTAGAGTTGCAATTCTCTGGCATGAACTATGGCATGAAGGATTAGAAGAAGCTAGCAGATTATACTTCGGCGAAAGAAATGTTCGAGGAATGTTTGATACATTGGAACCTTTACATGCAATGTTAGAAAGAGGTCCACAAACTTTGAAAGAAACGTCCTTTAATCAAGCTTATGGCAGAGATTTAATGGAAGCACAAGAATGGTGCCGCAGATATAAAGCTTCACGCAATGTTCGAGATTTAAATCAAGCTTGGGATTTATATTATCATGTCTTTAGAAGGATATCTCGACAATTACCGCAGTTAACTAGTTTAGAACTTCAATATGTTAGTCCTAAATTACTTCTTTGTAGGGATTTAGAACTGGCTGTACCGGGAAGTTATAGTCCGGGACAGCCAATAGTTAGAATAGCAAGTATACATAGTTCTATGCAAGTAATAACCAGCAAACAGCGACCGCGAAAATTATGTATAAAAGGTCAGTAATCTTTGAATTTCATTAGATAATTTAATATAACATTGAATAAAATGTATAAATTGTCTTAAATGTCTAATATTTGCAGGTAGTAATGGTAAAGATTATATGTTCCTTTTGAAAGGACATGAAGATCTCAGACAGGATGAACGTGTAATGCAGTTATTTGGTCTAGTCAATACTCTTTTATTACATGATCCAGATACATTTAGAAGAAATCTTACTATTCAAGTAAATATATGTTAAAAAACAAAATTTTATAATATAATATTTATCAAATAATTAGTCAAATAATTAATTTATTAAATATATAATATTTTATCAATTTTATCAATTAAATTTGATATTTTATATTTAGAGGTATGCAGTAATTCCATTGTCCACAAATAGTGGTTTAATTGGTTGGGTACCACATTGTGATACATTACATACACTTATCAGAGATTATAGAGAAAAGAAAAAAATACTATTAAATATAGAACATAAAATAATGTTAAGAGTAAGTACATATTTTATATATGTTGATATTTTATTTTAATTAATTTAATTATAACAATTTGATTTATAGATGGCCCCAGGTTATGATCATCTTATGCTTATGCAAAAAGTTGAAGTATTTGAACATGCTCTTGAGCACACATATGGTGATGATTTATCGCGGCTTCTTTGGTTAAAATCACCATCAAGCGAAGTATGGTTTGACCGTAGGACAAATTATACACGTTCTCTCGCTGTAATGTCTATGGTGGGCTATATCCTTGGTCTTGGTGATCGACATCCATCTAATTTGATGTTGGATCGTTTAAGCGGGAAAATATTGCATATCGATTTCGGAGATTGTTTTGAAGTGGCTATGACTCGAGAGAAATTTCCTGAGAAAATCCCATTTCGATTAACAAGAATGTTAATCAATGCGATGGAAGTAACAGGAATCGAGGGCACATATAGAAGAACTTGTGAATCTGTAATGTCAGTGTTACATCGTAATAAGGATAGTTTAATGGCAGTATTAGAAGCATTTGTATATGATCCTCTATTAAATTGGCGATTAATGGACAATGCTGCACTGAAAGGTAAAAGATCTGATGCTCAGGGAATGAGTGCTAGCAGTAATCAAGAGCAGAGCGATGCATTAGATTCTCTTACTGCCACATTACCAAAGAAAGGAGTACCATGTAGTGTTGAAAATGGAGGTAAACTATTTATCTGTATGGAATTTAATTATAACAATTAATAAATATATAATTGAAAATTATAAATGATATATATCATAAAAAATGAACGAAAATTTATTATTATCATAGGTGATACTAATCAACCAGAGGCATTAAACAAAAAAGCTCTTGCTATTATTACAAGAGTAAGGGATAAATTAACGGGACGTGATTTCTCTCATGAAGAAACATTGAGTGTTCAACGTCAAGTTGATCTTTTAATTCAACAAGCTACCAATAATGAAAATTTATGTCAATGTTATATTGGATGGTATTTTTTTATAACTTTATTTACAATATATTACAAAATCATAAATGATTTTCATTATTTATTTGTTAATTATATAATATATAAATAATACATTTTTTTATAAATGATTAATTATTATTAATCATTACTAATAAAATTATATTTATTTTACAGGTGTCCCTTTTGGTAAACAAAAATTTTCATAGATGGGGACTTTAACGTATATCATGTGCAGTCTTGTTCCTGTTTTTGCATTTTTTATTATTAAGAAATAATTATGTATAATGTCATACTAGAACATGTACATATATAAGCTATATTATTATATTGATTGTATATAATACTTATGTTATTCTTGCTTATAAAGTACAATGTAAATTAGAAAAAACATACTTCAGAAATTATATAATAATCAGTTTTTATGTAAACATAGAAAAAAATCTACTCAGGAATAAGATTATAGTAACAATATTTTTTTCTTAAAGATTGTCTTTGTATTTATTGAAATTTGTATATATAAAAACTAGCATCACAATTATTACAGTCAGACCATTCATTCAAATTTTTATAGACAAATTCATATAATATAAAACAACATTAATTATATACAATAAAACAATAATAATTATATATTTTCATTAAAAGACAGAATATGTCTTGATAAAATAATTAATATATAAAACAAATGAACTTAAAGAGATATTAAGAAATATTAATATACATAATTTAATCTTTTTCATTAAAAATTTATTGCAATAATTTTGCATTTCCAATTCCAAAAGCATGAGGTAACAAATTGCTTAATGTCGTTTTTAACACATTTTTCATATCAGGTCCTGTTAAATAAATTGGTATGTCACCAAATTCTGCAATAGCTTGTCTACAAAATCCACATGGTGTAGTAAAAATATTATTTTTTTTATCAGCTACTACTGTTAAAACTTTGAATTTTCTTTTTCCTTCTGACACTGCTTTAACAATTGCTGTTCTTTCAGCACAAGTTCCTACAGGATAAGATGCATTTTCTACGTTACATCCTGTGAAAATGGATCCATCATCACAAAGTATTGCAGCTCCAACTTTAAACTTACTATAGGGTGAATAAGAGTACTCACGAACTGCTATAGTCTTCTTTATCAAAGATTGAATATCTGGTTCTATAAAATATTGTAAATAAAAAAAAAATTAATACTAATAACTTATGTTTAATTTTTGTTAAATATTATATATAATATTATAGATAGATAGATAGATAGATAAATAGATAGATAGATAAATAGATAGATAGATAGATAGATAGATGAATAATGAAATTAATAAAATATGATTATATTATATTTACCTAGTTTCGCAAAATCAATAATTTCTTCTGCATTCATTATAGCACGTATTATTAAATATCGTAAAAAATCAATGTTTTAATTTGATATTTATTTAGAAAACCATCTTAATACTCGATACTATTTTGATACTTGTCAAATAATATTTTTAGATACACGTAACAAATATATACATATAAATTTTTTAAAAACTATGCAAATATACGTGTTATCAAGTATACTATTATCAACTATTGTATTATACACTTTTGTTTGCTCACACACGCATATCGTACAATGATTTTATCTGCAGAATGAGATAATATTGACCAATATTATTATTATATTGAATCTAAGAAATAACCAATCAGACTCGACCAATTTTTTAACTGTTAACAATAATTGATTAATAAATATGACTAATAGAAATATAAGATTAAGAGATATCAAAAATTATTTTTAAATTTTATATTTTGTTATTATTTTAACAATAATATTTATTGATTAAGAAATTTTAATAATATCGTTCTAACATTCATAATTCAATTTCTTATTTAACCTTAAATTAAATTTAATAAAAATTTAATAAGAAATTTGTATATATAACAAATAATTTGAATTGAAATAATAATTAGAATATATATAATTTAATTTATATTTTAAAATATAATTTATATTTTTTATGTGATATATATAGACAATAGACAATGATTAAGCATAATAACAATATTTGATAATATAATCAATTGAATTATTAAATCTATTTACTATAAATTAAAAATTTCAGTAGTAATATTTAGTAACATTATATACAAATCATTAAATTATTGATGTGAAAGAAAATTAAAATAAATAATAAATATATTATATGATAAATATATATAAATATAGAGTATCAGATTATATTGTTGATCATTTTTGCTACCCAATGATGAATTCTCTTTGCTTACTATTGTTTCACTGCGTAACCCGCAGATGTTGATTGAACTTTAGTTACCATTATTAATGCAAGAGAGCGTTCTGTTTTATATTAGTTGCTCAGCTGTTTTGAAGAATCGACGCAGCTTAACAGTGATTATCCGTAACTCAGCGTTGAATTGCTGCTTTCACGTCCAAACGCAAACAGATGTGGAGTGGCTGTCCAAATTTTTGACGTATCTCGTTCAGAATTTTTCGAACAGTGAAGACTTTTTTTTCGTAGAATTTTTATAATATCAACAAAACGTGTGATCATAAGTGATCGTGTTAGAGGTTAAAGACATCAAAAGAAAAAAATAAAGAAATCGCTATGAGCGAATTAAGCCAAGAGGAAGTGAGTACCAATGCATCGTTTTCAATCGTTATTCAATAGCGTCCGTAAGTCCGTTTTGTTGTTACCTTCCTTTCGCTTTATGCTTGCTTTGTTTCCTAAATTTAAGCTGAAATGGAACATGATAGGCAAGAGCATAAGAAAAAATAACAGGATAAAAAAGAAGTCTCATCAGCAAGACAATAATTGTAAAATACTACTTTTTATACTGTGGTATTGTGTTAAAATAATTATATAACGTTAACAAATTAAAATTAATTTTTTCCATTAATATATAATTAAGATAATTCTTTGGTAATTTTTGTTGAGATATTAATTACAATATTTATTTCTTTTTTTTATAATGTAAACAAAAATTATATATTTCATAATATATTAGAAAGATTACTTTAATATAAAATTTATTTAAAAAGATAATGTATTCTTTATATTTATAAAAGTATTTTTTTATTTTCATTGTTATTGTTTGTGTTCTTTGTCTTTGATATAAATATAGTAAATTTTTGATCATATCTTACATAGTTTTGATTATTGAATCATATCTTCCTGTTAAATATTAATAATATGAGAAATTATTTAAAAAATCATATTAATTTTTTAAAAAAATTATTTTATAAAATAATAACAAAAAGAAACATTAAAAAATTATAAATATAATATCAAATGTTTCAATTATAGGTAAGAAGAAGACGTATGGCTCGTTTAGCAGGCTTGGACAGCTTTAATTCAACAGTTAATATAAGTCATAATAATGATCCTGTTTCTCCAAACACACCTGGTCCATCTAAAACATTTACAGATCAAATAATATCACCATTAAAACAGCAGCAATTTCAGAATCCTGAGCTACCAATGGAAATAGAAGAAAATACTAATAAACAATGTAGTAGTTCTGGTGTTGACATAGATTCAGGAATTGAAAATATGGAAGTTGAGGAATCTGAAAGAAAAGAAGTAAAGCCAAGATCACGTGTAAATATAAATATTTATATTTATAAAAGAAATGTAAAAATATGTATTAAAAAAATATTATTATTATTATTATTATTATTATTATTATTATTATTATTATTATTACTATTATTATTACTATTATTATTATTATTATTATTATTATTATGTTTATTTTTTAGACTACAAGTTCCAGTACAGAAATAACTACAGAACAAATACATGCAGTTATATCACGTGTATTATGCATATCATGGAAAGAACCTACAGAGGGTTATATATTCTTACCACAAATGGCAATATATGCATTATCAACAAAACTCATTGATGCCACAGAAATCATTAATCAAGCATTAATGGAAGTCTTATGCATGTTTATGAGAGATGAAGATCCTTTAAAAGAAATTAATATAGATACTTCTTCAGATAGAGAAGATAGTCCAAATAGTCAAGCAAGTCCGTTACAAAGCCCAGTTACAACATTTTGTCGTTGTGATATTTGTTGTAAATCATCACAACCTAAAAGTCTTATTTATTTATTAGACTGTTATTCAAGAGTTGCAATTGAAGAACGAAATCATCCAAAGGTATAATTTATATTAACATTTAATTATTAATATATTTGTGTCTTAACAGGTATGATATTTTTTTTTTTATAAATAGAAATCAAGTACACCACCATTATCTGATATTTTGGCTGTTCTAAGAGCACAATGTGTTCAATATTCCAGTCTTGTGTTACAAGGCCTAGTTGGTATTTCTCAGTCTTCAACTACATATCCGTTTTCCATGACACCACTTCTGTATCCTGTACTCTCGCAAAGTTTACCTCGTGGCTATTTACATGAACTTGTAACAAGAACACATACGAATTCTGCAATATTTAACAAAATTTTTACACCACTTTTGCAAGGCTTATATCTTTCAATGCAGCAAGCTAGTTTGATTAGAAATACACATCGAAGACCGATTGAAGCATTAGAAGAGTTAATAGAAATTTGCTGCGGACCGAGTAGTAACATACGACCAATATGTCGTTTAATTGTCCATCAAATTCAATTTTTACCTGATATTATGACGTCAGCTGCTGGTAAAGAAATTACAACAACATCTCTTTTGGGACCGTTTTTGTCAGTTTCTGTATTCGCCGAGGATCAACTGGATGTGGCTGAAAGATTCTTCAGTGGTAATCTATTCGTCGATAAATCAATAAGTTTAACATTGCAACAAGAATTAGAAAGTATCAGAACATCACTTCATAAGATATTTCATGCGATACTTGCGAGTAGTAACTGCCGTGAAGCTATGTTAACATATTTAGCAACATTATTACGTTACAATGAAAAACGTGCTCAAATACAAATGGAAGAATTTTCTCTTGCGGGAGATGGATTTATGTTGAATCTCTTGTCAGTATTACAAAAACTTTCTGTGAAAATCAAATTGGACACAGTAGATCTATTATATCCATTTCATCCAGCAAGTTTCGTTGAAATAAAAAACGATACAAGGCTGAAACTTACGTGCCAAGAAGTTGCTGATTGGTTGAAATATTTAGAGAGGACACACAAGTGGGTCGAGCCAAAGTTTCCAACACAATGTTGGTTCCTTACTCTACATTGTCACCATATAGCGTTGTTACCGGCTTTACAGAAATACCAGAGAAAGCTGAGGACTTTACGTGATGTGCAAAAAATGCTCGATGATCTACAAGCTACTGAACCACAATGGAAAGATAGTCCTTTTGCTAGCCGTAATAAAGAATTGATAGAACGATGCAAGGAGCAATTGAAACATCTCGGCAAATCGAAATTATACACAGATGCTGGATTAATCGATCCTGTTTTATTGAGAAGGTGCTTACACTTTTATATTTCTGTAGCAGAGATTCTGCTAAGTTTATTGACACAGACTTCGCCAGGAAATCCTATTCCTGAACTGCCTTTGCCACAGGAGGTTCCACAAAAATTTACAGCATTACCAGAATGGTATGTCGAAGATATTGCAGAATTTGTATTATTTACTCTTCAGTAAGTATTGTTTTATTGTTATTTTTATTATTACATTATTATTACTAATGTATTATATTATTATTGTTTTCTATCTCTTATAGATTTTGTCCTAGTGTAATAGTAAATAATATGGATAATTCTCTCATTACATGGTTACTTGTAGTAGTATGTACTCCACATTGTATACGAAATCCATATTTAATAGCAAAAATTATTGAAGTACTATTTGTAATAAATCCTAATGTTCAGGTAAATATAAAAAAAATCAAATTTTATATTTTTTTAAATAATGTCTTATAATTCTTAATTTTAGGGACGAACTGAATCTCTTCATGATCAAGTAATGGCACATCCTATATCAAGAACATTATTAGCCTCATATTTGATGAAATTCTACACAGACGTTGAAACAACTGGTTCTAGTTCAGAATTTTATGATAAATTTTCCATTCGTTATCATATTAGTTTAATACTGAAATCTATGTGGGATAGTCCAGTACATAGAAAATCGATCATCGATGAAAGCAATAATGGGAATCAATTTGTAAAATTTATTAACATGTTAATGAATGATACCACATTTTTACTCGATGAAAGTTTAGAATCATTAAAACGTATTCACGAAATCCAAGAATTGATGTCCGATCTTAAAGCATGGTCTGCATTATCTCGTGAACAACAACATTCACGAATGAAACAATTAGCAGCAGATGAGAGACAAGCTAGGTCATATCTTACTTTGGCCAAGGAAACTGTTGCTATGTTTCAATATCTAACAGATGATATCACAGAACCATTTTTACGGCCAGAATTAGTCGGAAGATTATGTGCCATGTTAAATTTTAATTTACAACAATTATGTGGTCCTAAATGTAAAAATTTAAAAGTACGAATACCACAAAAATACGGTTGGGAACCAAGAGCTTTACTTAGTCAATTAGTTGACATATATTTACATCTTGATTGTGAGATTTTTGCTGCTGCTTTGGCTGCTGATGAAGTAAGTTTAATATATTAATAATATATTAATAATACAAATATATTAATAATATTAAAAATTATTATATAATTATAAATTATTATATATATTTAATAAATTAATAATATTATAAATAATATATATTATAATAATATAATAAATGAAGTCTATAATAAAAAACTTTTTCTAACAAATATTATAATTGCAGCGTTCATTTTGTATGGAATTATTTATTGATGCTGCAAATAAGTTAGAAAGATCAGTAATCAAGTCTATTATAGAGATTGAAAGATTTGTAGCTCTTGCTGAACGTGCTGCAGATATAGCAAGGGATAATCGTGCACGTGATGCAGATTACGGTGATGCACCAGAAGAATTTCGAGATCCACTTATGGATACACTTATGGAAGAACCTGTTAAACTTCCATCTGGCATTGTTATGGATAAAGCAGTTATTATTAGACATCTTCTCAATAGTGCTACAGATCCTTTTAGTAGGCAACCTCTCAGTGAAGATATGCTTACACCAAGTGAGTAAATAAAGTAATTTTTTTTTTCATATAAAAAAATTTATGTAATAACTAATTATTGCATATTTATAGTGCCTGATTTGGAGAAAAGAATATCAATGTGGAAACAACAAAAGAAAAAACCGACAAAAATATAAATTATGATTTTATTGCAATAATCATTTTTCAGAAACATCACGATATTGTGTAGTTAATGTTACTACATGATATATTGTATCAGTCCATAGATATATCATTCTATGGCAAATGAATACAGTGCAATGATCTCGCTAATGTGCAAATATTGCACTTAATAAATTTACAGTTTTAATACATTACTGTCTAATACTTAAAACAGACAGTTAAACAGACTGCAGCTATGTAACCAGCTGCATATTACTTTTAAAGGAAAAAAAAAATACTTTTAAAAAACTTGTAAATAATTGCTGGTTTATAACATCAATACCCAAAAAAAATCTTATTTACAAACTTAGCACTTGTTCCTTTATACGTTCTAAATATATGAGACTGCAAATGAAAAATTAAAAACATATGATCAATTATAAGAATAATAAATTAAACAGCATAGAGATAAAAAACATCAATCTAAATTTTTTTATTTAAAATTTGATAATTTATAAATGAAAATAAAAAAAGAAGACATTATTTGATGCAAAATTTATGTAAATGATTCATATATAAATGATAAAATATTTTAAAAATTATATTAAAGTTTTTTTTTAAACATGCGAAATGTTGCACAATAGAAAAAAATAATTTGCAGCGATTAATTCTTTCTAAAGATGTACATGGTAAATGTATCATGCCTATTCCTTCAATAAATTTCATGAGTAAAGATTTGTTTTGTGTATATAATAATATATTACTTAAAACAATTCCATCCAAAAAATATTTTTTGTTTTTTCAATGTGAAATTTTTTAAAAAATTATTTTAACATTTTTACTATAATTATGCTTTCTTTATTACAAATTCAAATGTTTTTTTACTTCAAAACTTGAAGTATACATTTTCATTTAAATTTTTAAAATGGTATTAAAAATGGTTAAAAGTTTATAACAAAAAAACTTTAAAAAATTAATATTTATTTTTTAAAAGTATGATTGTAGTTTATAATTTTCATATCAATTAAAACTTTGTTTTTATAAATTATATTTATATAATTATATTTTTAAATTTAACTATCAATTACATATTACATAAATTTATCATTAAATAATGTTAAAGATTATTTTAAAATGAAAATGAATTTTATTTTAATTGTAAATTCGAAACATAACAGATATTCTACATAATTCAAATGATTTGAAAATATAATAAATTATATGTTGATTCATATAATCTATTCTAAATTAGTTTTATTATTATTAACTGTTAAAAAATGTTATTTATTATATTCTTATTTAGTGTATTATAATCTCAAAATGTTTAATGTTTAATTAATATTCTCATTATATAAAATTGATAAAGTTCAGGTTACAAGAAAAAGACATTTAAAAATATTAGAAAATTAAGTATTGTTAATATATATTAACTGCCATTGTAATTTTTGCCCATTTTTCAATTCAAATAATATATTAATATTTCTAATATACTTTTGTTTTTACAGAGAATATACATAAGAACATAATTCTTTTTTTGAAAAATCTTTCATATTATATATGTAAATATAAATAAAAATAAAAAAAGATCAAGAAATTAAGCAAATATTTAAATATAATACATATATGGTAAATTATATGTAATAGATTATATAGAAAAACAATAAACAATATTAGTTTATTTTAATTACTTACAAAAATATAAAAATTTTTTAATATTTTTTATTTAAATGAAATTTAATTATATCAATGAAAGATTGTTTATTGCTCTTCCTCTACCTACTCCAATTAATTTCAATTTATTATTCTTCTGAATAATTTTTCCCCGACCAATTCCCATTGAACTAACTATAGATTCTAAATCTTCAACACAAGAATCTTCATTTGCTTCTCGCAACATAGCTTCAGAAAAACCACGAGGAGCTCTTATGGGTTTGAAATCTTTACTTCTTTCTTCATTTCTTGATATAAATTCAAAAGATTAATGATAATGACAAGTTCTTATAATTATATAAAAAAAATAAGATAATAAATATGTAATAAATTAATATAATTAGAATTAGAACTAAATTATTTGATTACTTTGAATCAATAGTTATATTAATTGTTTTTGTATTGTTATCCATAGAATATTCTTCTTCAGTTAAAATAACAGAGTTATCATTAATTTCTATGTCCCAATTTTCTGTACAATCTATTGTACTTGAAAGATCTGAATATATTTCAAAATTTGTTGCACCATGTTTTTTTGTTTCTATGAAATATAATATTTTAACAATAATGTTATTAAATAAAAAAAAAATAGAAATAAAATATAAAAAAACCTGGATATATTTCATTTAACACATTACGAGCAGAACACGTAGTGATATGCTCCTCTAATTCTTCCTTAAATAATCGATGGGTGGCATTATATGGACACATAACTTTATAATGTTCAGGATATCGCTATTTTAAAAATTTAATATATTTATATAACTGATGATATGAGTATTATTTTGTGAAAAAATTAAATTTATTCGTTAAAATTAACAAAAAAAAAATGCATTCATAATATTTTTTTTATAATTAATTTACTTACTTTTTCACACTTGACAATGTGCTTTTGAAGACGAGATTTTGCGATAAAATGATTTTTATCATATGGACATATTATAATCGGATCATGGAGCGTAAGACATTTATACATTTTGAATTTATTAAAAATATCTAATTAAATATACAAATAATAAGAATATTTTTTATGTTTTAATAATTTTTTTTCTGTGATCGAAATTATTTCTTCGATATATTGTTTAAAATCGATAGTACATAAAAATCGATATATAGTCGATTTATATTTGTATCGAGAAATAATTTAAAAAAAATTGTTAAATTTAAAAATTTAAAAAATATTACATTGCATTAAGATATAGATATATAGAAATAATATTATATATATATATATAAATGATTCAAATTAAAATTCAATTTAATTTATTATTTATATTTTAATATAAGTAAAAAAGAAAATATTCTAGATATATTTTATTCTCATTGACACTACATTTCTTAATTTATAAATCAAAATAAATCAGAGATTAAAATCAGAGATTAAATGTTCATCTATTTTTATATATAATCATTTATATATAAAATTGTAAATGTATATAATTGATAATAATATAGAGATTAAATTTTTTATTTAACATTGTTTCTTTGAAAGATATAAAAATAAAATATTATTTCAAACAAGAGTTGAAAATATTAAAAATGAATTTTTAATATTAATTATTTTTTGATTTATTTGTATTCATTGTATAGTTTTAAAAAAATATAACAAAAATATAACAAAATAATTATAGACAAACTTACGTAAATAATTTATAATAATAACTATTATAATATAAATCTTTATGTTAACAGCAAATGATGAAATAATATATTTTATTAATTTATTATTAATATGCTATAAGAATTTATTACATTTTTTTGTAAATTTATTAATTTATAAAACATGAAAATTTTCCAAGTTTATTCCCGAAATTCTTACATTTTCGAAATTACAAAAGCTATGCACATGATTTCTTTTCATAAATAATATTACTTAATTTCTAAACATTGAAATAAATTATTATATAAACATTTAAATAATTATAATTTCATAAATTTATGTTTTTTTTATTCCTATCCTACGTGCAAAAATATTACACTAATTATACACACTGGAAAAATTAAAAGTACAAATTCAAGATTTTAAACAATGTAATTTGTACATATTAAAGATCATTATATTATTGGAAAGATATATCCAAATATTTATTGTATTATAAATATTCATAATATAATACAAGTAAGAAAAATATTTTATAATATACATGATAATGTTTATATGAAAAAAATTAATAAAAGTTAATTTTTCATAAAAGTAAGAAGCAAGATTAAATAATATCAATTGATTTTAGATAATTTATAACAATCCAAATATAATGATAAGAAAGAAAGATTTATATAAAATTACATATAGATAGGCTAATAGCTGCCTATATAATTATTTGAATCACTGAGTTTCTTTAAATAATTATACAAGTATGTTACAGATAGGGAAGAGGATCGACAAGTAAACAAGCAATAACATATAAAATGCCCAGAAACATATTTAATTTAGCTGTTTGCTTAGGCACACTCTGAATCATATGAGGGCTTCTAAATTGTTTTTCTATTTTGAACGCAGTTGGTAAAGTAATAACTGGTAACAGAAACCATATAGAATACCTTAATGCAAGCACCACCAGAGTTACATATGGTGTGAATAATAAAAAAGCATATAAAACATGAGATACAGTGTGACCTATTAAAATAGCTAATGTTACTATTCCTGCTCTTTTATCACTCTCTAAATCTCGGGTATTGTTACTATGTAAAATAGCTTCTGTATTTAGAGCAAGAGGTATAGCATAATATATTGTACCTAATTCAATATAACCAGTTTGAGCCATGAATGCAAATAAAACTGAAATAGGACCAAATATAACTAAAATAAGAACATCACCTAATGCAATATATTTAAATCCTATTCCTCCTGTATAAAGAAATGAAGAAGATAAACCTCCAAAATACACAAGTGCAAGATGTTCCATTTTTGCAGGAGATATGGTAGTTAATAGAACAAAACCTAAACATCCTGCTGTATATAATAATGCACCTAATGAAACTAATTCATCCTTTGATAAAAGTTGATCTACTAATATCCTATCATCACTTTTTCGACTATCTACTCCTTTTATATAATCAAAATATGTATTTACTACATTACCAGCTCCATGTACACAAAAAACTGTATATACTGTGAGGATAAAAGATATCCAGCTAAAATTTGCTATGTTTGTTAATCGATAAGCTAATGCAGATCCAAGAAGTGTTGGCATTAATGAAGCACTTAATGACCATGGTCGTACAGCTAAGAAGTATGAAGACAATTTCATAAGTGGAGAATTTAATGTTGAGGATGATATTGGTGAACAATTGATATTATTTGACATTGATTTTCCTCCAACTTCTTTAGTAGAAACCCAAATACCATTGGACATCATATTTTATATTTTGCTATAAATAAAACAAATCAATAATTATTATATAATATAACAAGTATAATATAATATTTATATTTTCTATTAATAATGAATCAATTATATTAATATTATATAATATAATATAAAAATATAATAATATATATAATAAAAAAATTATATAATAAAATATATAATAAATATATAATAAAATATAATAAATATATAATAAAAAAAGAAAAAAATTTATTTATATATCATTAACAGAATTTTATTCTAATGTATTTCTAATATATTTTTAATTAAATTATATAAAAATAAATTCTAGAATTAATAAATTTAAAAAGAAAGTTAAAACTAAATTCTTTAACTAAATTCTTTGTCAACAAAAAATTTATAAAATATACAGAATATATATTTAAGGATTTATAATTGTATATAATATTATTATATAGAAAGAATTTTACTAATTAAAAATGAACTATTGATACAATTAATTTTTATAACATTATATAATTTTATAAAGAAATTTATTTTTTAATATAAATATATAAAAATTAGATGAACTTACCTAGTATTCGTTTAAAGAGTAAATGTTAGGTTAGAACAATCTCCATACTGTATTCAAAATTGTTACATTTTTTAAGTATTTATTAGTTAATAAGAAAATTATTAATTATGCAAAAAAAAAAAAACAATTTTCACATAGTTAAATTTGAAATTCTTATTTGAAGAAGAATTCTTCTTCTTATGTATTGTTACATATGACGATGACGTGTTTTCATTAATATGCACGTGGCGCTCTCTAAAATATTCTTTTTTCTCATAAAGTCAACAATATCGTTAATAAATTTAACTTTCACAAGAAATATTTAGAAATATCTAATTACTCTTTATCTTTAAATTTCAAAATATTGTACAATTTATAGATAATATACATATATTTTTATTATATTCTTGTTAATTTTTAAGTAAGCAATATTCTATTATTTTTAAATATATTAATAAATACATATATAATGTTTATATTTAAAAAAATTAGATATATGTATTTATAAAATATAATACTTAATTTTTTTAATATTATAATTTTTATATATAATCAAATAATATATTATTAATATATTATTAATATATATTATTAATATATTAAATATATAAATAATATATATTTTTGAATATATATGCAATAGTAGATTGAAAGTAATTTATATTATATAATTATAACTTTTAAACAATATAAGAAAAAATGAAAAATTTAAAACGCTAATTTTAAAATAATTAAAATTTTAAAGATTATTCAAGCATAATATATTAGTTAAAATAATAACAAAATGCATGTAAATATACCTTAACAAGAAATTATAAATATATATATATATATATATATTTAACTAAACACAAGTTTAGAGAATAAATATGGCAACAATGTTCAAATTTTTAATAGTCAATCAAGTATTAGAAGTTTTAAAAGTTACTAGAAGTTACTTCGAATTCTCACGAATTTTAATCTTATGAAATATTTATTTATATGAAAAAAATAATAAAACGATTATAAGTAAAGATTGAAATTTTAAATTTACTAAGCATTAAATAAAACACAGTTTTCATAGGTTTCATATAATTCACAAATTTTTTTTAAAAATACAAAATTTTTTATACAAATAATGTTTGAACTAACATATTCGGATATCAAAATAAAAACGCAAATTGAAATTAAAAAAATTTAATGTTTTTTTTTAAATTTAGTTAATAAATATTCACGAATACACATAACTATTTTGTTCATTTATTATTTTATTTTTCTTTTTTTCTATGTATATAGTTATTTGTTAGAAACTAAAATCAAAATTTTGAAATTCTTATTTTACATATCTTAATTTTTAGCAATTACATAGTATAATTTAGTAATAGTAATAATAGTACTATTACTATATAGATATATGATAATATTATATAATTTTTTTTATTAAAATCTTATAAATTAACTAATAATTAAATTATAAAGTATATACCATTTCTTAACATAATTTATTGTTTGGAATTGATTCAATAATTATATCAACAATTCAATATTTTCTGCAAATTACCTATCTTTATTTGTATATCTAATCTCTTTCGCTTAATATTATTTTTTTATCACATATATTAATTCATTTAAATTAAAGTCAATACAAATATATATAAGCTATAACCTCAAAATTTATATATTTATCATTTATTTATATTATTTCTATTTTTTGCAATTATAACATATATATATAGATCAATTTAAAAAAATATTAGATTCCGTTTTCTATTTATCGTAATAACAAAATAAGACTCTTGATACTAGCAAAAACGATGTTGCCAAATTTAACCATGTATCTAAAGTAGGCTGTGACTCTATGTGGAAGATACATCCATTTATTATATGCTGTTCATTATACGTTTCATAAACGGTGGTGTCAGATCAGAATTGATCGTTTTGCTTCACGTTCTGTTCCAGAAATTTCTAATAAATCTTTTCAGTGAAATTTTCTATAAAAATTTATTTTGTTACATTTTAAGTGTTTACGTTATTCTCTTTTTAATTATCGATCGTAATCTTTTTCACAAATATTCTGTTTTTCAAAATGTCCTTTTTCGGATCATTGATGAGTGATCTCGACGATGATCCTATTTTTGGGTAAGTTAAAATATAAATTTTAACTTCTTAATTTTTTTTATAAGAATGAAAATATATAAATTATATTATTTTTAAACTTAGTTTATTGTAATTACAATAAAGTAAAACAAAACTTAAAATAATATTTTATTAATTTTATTATATAAATTATTTATTATATATTATTAATATTTTGATTCGATAAAATTATATAATTTTTAGGAAAAAAATTAGTAAATATCTATATTTGCAAAACACCCCACATTAAAATCTTATCTTATAAATTAGAAATATGATTAACTATAAACTTTAATTATTTTAAATTTTATAATGGAAATTTCATTTTTACAGTATTTTTTTTTAATTTTGTTGTATTAATTTAATTAATTATTAATTATTTTATATAATTATTATTCTTTAATATATTTATTATTCTTTTGTATAATTAATATTATAATATTATAATATAATAAATTATATTTATTGAAATTTTCATTTATTTTATTATATATTTGAAGATTTTGTTATAAAAAAAAATACATTCAAGTTTTTAATATTATTTTTTATAGATCTCATATTCAATCTATGAGACATATGAATAATATGATGAATTCATTATTTAATGACCCATTTGGTATGATGGGTCATCCTAGCCATAATGCTATTGCACATGCTAATCATAGGAATCAAAATCATCAAGATGATCTTCAAGTATTACCATTTGGATTTCCACCATTACCATCATTTAATATGGGCAATATATTCTCAAATTTTGTAAATTTTTCTCTTTAATTTTTAATTTATGAAATTTATAATAATAAATAAGTAAATTTATAATATAATTATAATATATTATATATAATATATTAAAAAAAAATATTTTAGGATAATATGGCATCAAGTGGAAATTGTCATTCTTTTGTATCAAATTCTGTAATGACATTTGGTAGTGATGGTCGTCCACAGGTTTATGAAGAAACCACATCTACAACAACTGTTCCAGGTGGCATAAAAGAAACAAAAACAACAGTCTGTGATTCTCGTACTGGAAAAAAAAAGATGGCTATTGAACATCACATTGGAGATAGGGCACATATTTTAGAAAGAGAACAAAATATTCATAGTGGTGAACAAGAGGAACATCAGGAATTTATTAATCTTGATGAAGGTTAATAATCTTTTTTTATAAAAATTCATTTATTTTATGTCTATTAATTATATCATTATTTTTATTTATTTCATATCTAAAATGAAAAAAACATATTATTTTATTTTACAGAAGAAGCAGAGAGTTTTAATAAAGAATGGGAATCACGTGTTCGCCATTATGGAAATTACCATCATGGAAATTCTCATTATGGTATCCATGGTCATCGAAATAGATTTGATCATAGACAGTTGGCTTTACCTGATCCATCAGGAAGGTTAGTTCATTAAATATATAATTTATTTCAAACAAAATCTTTATGTATAATTATTTGCACAAAAAAAAAGTATAAATATTTATCTTATAATTCTTTAAAACATACAATTGATGTTTAATACATTTTTATTAAAATATTAAAATGTTAATACATGTAGTGATGTTGCATGTATTTATCATATAAACATGGAAATGTACACTTAAAATTATGTGTGCATGAATAAAAATATTATATATATAGCGCTGTTACTGATAAATTTAAATTTATGCAGTGTACATAAGAAAACCAGAAGACGAACCAGTAAAAAAAAGTGAATGAAGAAAAAGGATCTCATCATATTAAATATCATTTTATCTTACTTTCTGCATTCCCTGCTAAAATTTTGTATCAAACATTCAAATAAAAACATTTAAGTTTTAATTTCTATTTGTTTTGTTTAGTTATAATCAGAATTTCATTATAGTACTTTCATGATATTTTAATTTTCTTATATTTCATGTGTTACAAATAATTATAATTATTATATTATTACATGAATATATAATTTATTGATTTAATAAATTGCAACATACTTCATAACTTTGATTCTCATTTTATAGTAATGTAAACTCATTGAGATTAATAAAAGATAATGTATCAATAAAATATCTAATATTACACTTAAATTTTTTTTATTTAATGTATTATAAGCATGAAACTAAGTCTAAATTTTAATATCTAAATTTTTTTATTTTTTTGTTTTTTGCTTTTTTATTTATTTGCTCGTTATATGCTTTTATAATCGATATTCTAATTCTTCAAGATGGACATCTCCTAGACGTAGTTTAAGATTATCATCATCTAAACCATACAACTCAATTTACAATTTAAGGTAATTTTAGTAATTTTATTAAAATTTATGGTTTTGAACATATATTAAACACATAAATGTGTTATAATATTAAAAATTTGTGGTTTAATAAAATAAATAATATAAAATTATTATGCATTATACACTATATTTATGAACATTAAATATAATTAATAGAATATATAATATAAAATATAATAATTAAATATATTTAATTCATATGTACATATTACAAATATTAACATATTTATAATATAAAAAATTTACGAATATAAAGAAAATTTATTTATAATAAATATCTGTATTTGCACTATTAAATTATTTAAGAATGGAATTTATTAAGCAAAAATAATAATCATTCTTTTGAATAAAACTAATGTTTCTAATGAAGTTTTTAATAAATTACAATTGCAATATTTTTCAATATTTACTTTGTAAAAAGAAACATCATAAAACTATATAAAAATATCTGATTCATGCATGTTGTTTGTAGTCTGTAATACAGTAGTAATAGTTAAAGTATATTAATATTTATAATGATATTATATTATTATATTTTTATTTTTAGATGATTTTATTAGATCTATGTTGTATTTTTAAGAGCAGTAAATTGAAATTCTTAATTTATAGAAATGTAATGATAATTTTTAGATTATAAATTTCAGTAAATTAAAAGATTTAAATAAAGAAGTTTTAATTTAAAATTAATTTAAAATATCTTAAATACAATTTTTTTTTAGATATGTTATAGATGTTAGATATATATTAAATACAAATATTTTTTAAATATCTTATTATTTTGTAATAAAATAAATATAATTCATATTTTATCTTATATTTTTTAATATAAAAAAAATATATTTAAAAATCGTATTTAAAAAT